TAGATCCCACAGGGCAAGCCCATTCCAACTCTCTTCATCACAGGGTATGAGAAGTAAGAAACAAAACATAGGTATGAACATATGTTGAACATGATCAAACTTAAAAGGCAAACACATTGGAAAAAAAGTAGACTTGCCACATATCTGAGGTTCAAAGACAGCCTTGATCTATCAAAATATGCAAAAATGAAAATTCCAAAAGGAAAAAGATATATGCATACTCGATTAACATACAAAAATCTGTTAGCAAAGAAAAGCAAATTAAAATGGCAGGTCCCTATGGCCAACAACTATCACTTGGGAAAAATGTATCAAAATGATAAAGCCCACTGCCGGTGCAAACATTGAAGATGGCCTCTCCTGCCCTCTGCTGGTGGGAATTTAAACTACAGTAGTATGGTAAGTCCTTTCTGGAGCTTGCTTGAAAATATCAATCAAAAGTCTTTAAAATGGCCGGGCGCGGTGGCTCAGGCCTGTAATCCCAGCACTTTGGGAAGCCAAGGTGGATGGATCACAGGTCAGGAGATCGAGACCATCCTGGCTAACATGGTGAAATGCCGTCTCTACTAAAAATACAAAAAATTACCCAGGCGTGGTGGCCGGTGCCTGTAGTCCGGAGTACTTGGGAGGCTGAGCCGGGAGAATGGTGTGAACCCGGGAGGCAGAGCTTGTAGTGAACACAGATGGCGCCACTGCACTACAGCCTGGGCGACAGAGCAAGGCTCTGTCTCAAAAAAAAAAAAAAACAAAAAAAAAAAAATACAAAAATTAGCTGGGCATGGTGACATGCATCTGTAGTCTCAGCTACTCCGGAGGCTGAGGCAGGAGAATTGCTTGAACCTGGGGGGCAGAGGTTGCAATGAGCCGAGATCGTGCCACTGCACTCCAGCCTGGCAACAGAGGAAGACTCTGTCAAAAAAAAAAAAAAAAAAAAAAGTCTTTAAAATGTTTGCATCTTGTGATCTAGTGATTCCAATGCTATAGCTTTTACCAGGGGAATAATCACAGCTGTGTAGAAAGAGACACACATTTTTATTGTGTTTTTATACAATGAATGGCAGACCTTTCTAAAACTAGCTTTCTTCTTGGAATGAAGAACAGTATCCCAAATGATAGATATTAACACTAACATTTACTGAGCACTTCCCACATGCCAGGTGCTTTCTAAGAGCTTTACCTGTATTCTCATTCCTGGAGGTGCTCATAGAATACCTGGGGACCAAGGGGGCAGCTACATGGCACAATGAGAGAACAGGGTAGTACTGGTCTGGCCTCAGAGTTGCAAATAACAGAAAACAACTGAAATTAAAGTTAATTTGAAAAACAAAAGGAAAATTTAACCATCTGTAAAGTCTCAGCAATGGATAATAACAGTTAAGATTTATTGAGAGTTTTCCATGGCCTGCTCTAAGGACTCTGCATGTATTAATACTTTTAATCTTTACCCAATCCTGTGAGGTGGATATTATTCTTAACCCCATTTTGCAAGTGAGGAAACTAAGGCAAAGAGTGGATAAGACGCTTGCTCAAGGTTGGAAGAGTCAGTAATGACAGGACCAGCAATGACAGCCAGGCAGGCAGCTAGCTCCAGAGCTCAGTTCCTTAACAGGGTTAGCTAAGGCTTAGCTAGATCCGGGAGGCGGTGCAATGCTACCAAGACCTCTTAGCTTGCCTCTCAGCGCTTTCTTCCCACGTGGGCTCCCCTGTTTCCAGAACAGCAGCCCCCAAGCCCAAACTGACCTCACAGCTCACCATATCAAAGCAACCGTGAACATCTTCCCAGCCTAAGACCTGGACTATAAGAGGTCTGTTTTGGGTCTTGTACCCTCCCCTAGGACAGGGTCAGTCTCTGGAAACTGAGCAGGACCACTATAGAAAGCAGTAGTGGTTTCTCAGAGGAAGGGTTGTAGGCAGACACGTGTATGTCCATATTGAAGACAAGTTAGCTGTGCTCAAGGACCTGCTATGTGCTCGGTGTTTGCAGGGCACTGGGGGATACCAAGACATGGTTGGTTCTCCCAATCAACTGGGGGAAACACAGGCAAAAGGAAAAGAGCAATAAAGCTTGGTAATTCTCGGAAGAGAGACATGAACAAAGAGTAGCTGGAACCCAGGGACAAGGGAATACTGATCAAGGGGTGAACAGGCGCCAGATCTTGACAGCCCGGCAAGCCAAATCAAGGAGTAGTGAATAGTAACTATTGATGTTTGGAGGCAAACTATATATGCCAGGCACTAAGCTAAACGATAAACATGTATCTTCACTCCAATACCTGATGTTTCACAGATGAGCAAAACTGATACTCAGAACAATAAAATAACTTGCCCAAGGACCCACAGTGATGGAGGCAGGATTCAACAGTCTATAAACACCTTGGATTTCACTATGTTGCTAAGGGGAGGCCAGCAAAGGTCACAATGAAATTCATTGTTTCCCACAAGTAATCCACATTGAAAATGAAAACGTCTTAATTGGTAGCAAATCTGGTATCACATATCTATCTATAATTAGGGTGCCACAGTACACACATTGAAGGGTTTCTATTCTTTTTCTTTCTTTTTTTTCTTTTTTATTTTTTTGAGAGAGAGTTTCACTCTTGCTGCCCAGGCTGGAGTGAAATGGGCGGTTGTGGCTCACTGCAGCCTCCACCTCCTGGGTTCAAGCCATTCTCCTGCCTCAGCCTCCCAGGCAGCTGGGATTACAGGCGCTTGCTACCACGCCCAGCTAATTTATTTATTTATTATTATTTTTTTTAGTAGAGATGGGGTGTTTCACCATGTTGGCCAGGCTGGTCTCAAACTCCTGACCTCAGGTGATCCACCCACCTTGGCCTCCCAAAGTGCTGGGATTACAGGCGTGAGCCACCGCACATGCCCAAAGGGCTTCTTTAATGGACCTCAGAAATGAAGATGTGGTCATTAAATACTGGAATTTTTCCAACCTGCTTTTAAGTATCAATATGGTGTGCAAGTAGTGCCATTTAAAATTGCAGAGAAAAAAACTCTGGAAGGATTTCAGATCCAAATTCAAAGGCCCCGAAACCACAAAAGGAGAAACCTGATCTGACCTGAACATACCATGTATGGGAACCTGGGATAGCGGGGATGCTCTTGGGAGTATTCAGTTACCAGGGAGGCCCTGCACTGACCCTTTTTCGAGGAGACAATCAACAGAAGATTGTATTTGATGGGACAAATTCACTTCCTGTTAACAAGGCTTCTAACCCTGTACGAGAGAGAGAAGAAGGGAGGGCAAAGACTTTAGTTGGCTTTGAAGAAACAAATCCAGTTCTTTAGGAGTCTTGAAAGAAAAAAAAAAAAAAAAAACCAGAAAAAAAAGGAGGTATTGTTTAGAAAGGCCATATGATCCACCCAGCTTTTAAATCCTGTGCTCCAAAGGGTGAAGAAAGGCTGAAGAAATGATAAATCAGTAGATTTGGTACTTCTCTCTCTCTTTTTTTTTTTTTTTTTTGAGATGGAGTCTCGCTCTGTTGCCCAAGCTGGAGTGCAGTGGCGCGATCACTGCAACCTCCTTCTCCCAGGTTCAAGCGATTCTCCTGCCTCAGCCTCCAGAGTAGCTGGGATTACAGGTGCTGGCCACCACGCCTGGCTAATTTTTGTATTTTTAATAGAGACAGAGTTTCGCCATGTTGGCCAGGCTGGTCTCGAACGCCTGACCTCGTGAATCACCCGCCTTGGCCTCCCAAAGTGTTGGGATTACAGGCGTGAGCCACCGCGCCCAGCTGGCACTCTTTTCTTGAGTATTTATTACTTTCCTTTTACAAACACCCCAACACATAGTAGATATTAAACAGTGTCTACTAATTCAAATTTTACTTCCTATGTAGCTCACTGGCTCTCCACCCCTGTATTCAATCCACCTGAAATCACTCTCCCTGCTCTCCCACACTCCAGCAGAATAAACTGCCCTTTACATGTACAGTGTTTCTATTATGGCACTGTATTGAAGCTGCTTCCTCTACTAGATTCTTACTTCTGTCCTCACCACTTTATCACATGCAGCCGCTCAGAAAATGTTGGCTATACTGATAAAGTGCTTTCACAAATTTATAAATACAGAGTTACCTTGTAGTACACCTCTGTGGTTTTCTTTGGACCAGGAGCTCCTCACGTGCAAGGCCATATCTTACTCATCTTTATCTCCACTGCTGGCATGGTGCCTAACAGCTCCTAGCAAATAGTAGGTGCTCAGCAAACGTTTGCGTGGTTAAGCCCACCATTTCTCAGCACATGACTCGGTGGGAAAGGGTTGGGAGAGTAATACGCGGGATTACTGACGGAGAAAAAGTTGTGACCTCGTAACACACAGTTCGTGGGCGTGAGTAGTGTGGAAAACGGCAGTTTGCTGGGAAAGTAATTTAGTTCCCTCGGTTCAGGCTGGGAGGATTTTTCACAAGTGGCGAGGAGAAGGCTCACGTGAATCACATACAGGTGCTTCTCACTGAAACGCACAACAAATCTAGAGCCAAGTGTAATAACGAAACGGGCCCCAAGAAGTTTAATGCCCAGGGGTCCTCAAGTGGTCACTGCCAGGCTCTAGCATCCTGTCCAGCAGGCCTTTCTCCTCCTTTCAAATCTTGCTGGGCGACTCCTGAAAAGCAAAAGTAGGAAAGAAACTGGGGACTGAGGATGGAGGCCCGGACAGAGGGTATCTCTCCTGCTCTGGCACCCGGGAGTCTGCGAGGGCTTCGGAAGCGCAGCGTCTCACAGTCTCGCATCCCGGACCTGGACGCATCCTGCGGCAGCAGTAATCCTGGTCCTTCTGCGCTTCCATAGGTCGGAATAAACTTGGGAACCTTTCGACCCGGAAAGCTCAGTGTTTTAAAATTCAAATCGCACCTGACGACGTGAGAGCGAAACCCTTCAGGCCGACTCAATCCTAGCTGCTGCTTAACTAAAACCGCGAAGAGAACACAGTCTCCAATCCAAACGCCAAGAGGCCCAACTCCGGAGCCGACGCCGGAAGCGCTCTACCTGACGTCACTTCCGTCGCGTTTTGGGGCGGTACCAAGATGGACTCTTCACGGGCCAGGGAACAGCTCCGTCGGCGATTCCTTCTCTTGCCGGACGCCGAGGCCCAGCTGGACCGCGAGAGTAACGCCAGGCCGGGTGAGGCGCGCACCAAGCCGCCCCGAGGTTCTCAGAGGCGAGGCGCTGGAAAATGGCCGGCCTCCGGCAGCCCCGGCCCAGTCTGAAGGGACCGAGCTTCCGTTTTGCAAGTCGAATATTTGATGTCAGGGAAGATCCTTAGAATCGCATAGTGCTGTGCATCGTCATCTCAGCTGCGCTTCAGAATTCTCTGGAGAGCTGATTTGACACCTGTTTGGAAATATCGGTTAAAATTAAAAATACCCACCGGTTCTAAGTCTTAAGAATTTACCGGAAACATGCCTGTATCGCAGTGTACAATGATGTGCGCAGTGTTTCACCTCTGCATTGCTTGCAATAGCGAATCACTAGAAATACTTGTCTTGCCCGTCAGCAGAAGGCTGGTTAAGTAAATTTGGATATGTGTATACATGACACGCCAGGTCGACTTGTATGTACCAATGGGGATGATTTTCAAAGGGAAGTGCGGAACACTATGGTATGCCGCCATTTGGGTACAAAACAGGTAACCTGTGATGTATGTTCACCTGTAGGTGCATAGAATAATGGAAGAATTCAGTAGAAATTGTAAGTGGTGGTTGCTTCTGGGGATTAGATCTGAGGTTAAGGATGGGAGTCAGATACCTCATTTTGGATATTTGTAACCCATATGTTTTAAAACCGTGTCCATTTATTACCTTTTCAGAATAAACATGAATTACCTGATGTCTAGGCATGATGATGTATACATTTTGAGGATATTCCAGAATATTATGAACATGCTTCGTAGGGTTTCCGATGGTCATCTAAAGGCCCAAAACCTCATATGTGGACCATTCATTCTCACGTGAACATAGAGGGCATGTCAGAATCCTCGGAAAACTTTCTAGAAATCATCCATCTGACCCAACCCCCATCCACCCTTTCTTTCGGATTGCGTTCCAGACAGGAAAAATGACTTGTCCATCACCTGTCTAGACAGGGCTGTGCTGGAACTAGAGCTCTGGTGTGCCGTTTCCACTTTTGAGCTGTGTTTAAAGTAATGATTTAGTTATAGGCTGGGCATGGTGGCTCACGCCTGTAATCCCAGCACTTTGAGAGGCCGAGGCAGCCTGATCACGAGGTCAGGAGTTCGAGACCAGCCTGGCCAAAGAGACCAGCCTGGCCAACATGGTGAAACCCGGTCTCTACTAAAAATACAAAAATTAGCCGGGCGTGGTGGCAGGCGCCTGTAATCCCAGCTACTCGGGAGGCTGAGGCAGGAGAATTGCTTGAACCCGGCAGGCGGTGGTTGCAGTGAGCTGAGATGGAACCATTCCATTCCAGCCTGGGCGACAGAGGGATACTCTGACTCAAAAAAAAAAAAAAATAGAATTTAGTTATAAAAGTATTCTTGAAAGACCACAAGTCCAGTTCATGCGCTACCATTTGCCTTTGGCATTTTTTCCTAATCAGCAGGACTAACTCCTTTCCTAGAAGAAATGTGAAACATATTAAAATTCTTACATTTCCAGGTGGCATTGTTATTTCCGAAAGACGATGAAAATGTAAATTTGATTTCAAAATATATTTAGAGGAAATAAATTGACTGTATTTGTTAGTGGGCTCTTATTATTTTTTGTAAATATAAACCTATCTCAAGGGTTTTTTTTTTTTTTTTTTTTTTTTGAGGAGTCTCGCTCTGTTGCCCAGGCTGGAGTGCAGTGGCCAGATCTCAGCTCACTGCAAGCTCCGCCTCCTGGGTTTATGCCATTATCCTGCCTCAGCCTCCCGAGTAGCTGGAACTACAGGCGCCCGCCACCTCTCTGGGCTAGTTTTTTGTATTTTTTATTAGAGACGGGGTTTCACTGTGTTAGCCAGGATGGTCAAGGGTTTTACAGAAGAATTTGTTATCATGGGAGAGACTCTGGTTCCTAGCTCTAGGAAATGATTTTATTTGGCTTAAATTAAGTGTAATTTTTCCTCGCAAAATTATGGTAACTTAATAAGTTGAAATCTCCCTTATTTGCAGAAACCTCCACAGCTGTTCAGAAAAAGGAGAAACCTCTTCCAAGACTTAATATCCATTCTGGATTCTGGATTTTGGCATCCATTGTTGTGACCTATTATGTTGACTTCTTTAAAACTCTTAAAGAAAACTTCCACACTAGCAGGTAAGAAAACCTTATTGCTTCATAAATTAAATGCATGTCTGATTTTTCGTGTTATATTTTGTTAGTTGAATTCTTCAAACAGTAAGCACCTACTCTGTGCCAGGCCCTGTGTTGGAGGTGCTGGTGATACGAAGATGAATATGAGATGAGGATCAAAGGGTACATATTTTTAGTTGTAGGATGAATAAGGTCTGGGGATCTAATGTACATACAGTATGGTGACTATAGTTAATAATGCTGTATTGTATACTTGAAATTTTCTAAGAGTAGGTCTTGTGTCTTCCCCTGTTCCCTGACCAGTGGTAACTGAGGTGATGAGTGTGATGATTAACTTGATTGTGGTAATCATTTCACAATGTGTGTGTATATATATATATATATATATATATATGTCAGGTCATCACATTGTACATCTTGAATATATAAAATTTTAATTTGTCCATTATACTTCAATAAAGATGGAAAAAATAAAACCAATGGGAGGGGGTGTGTGCTCTGGGCATACACAGTAGAGTGGAAGAGAACTGGAAGTTATTTTTGTGCAAATAAATATATTGTAGGATGATGAAGGTAAGAAATTTAAGAAGGACCTAATCCATTTGGGGAAAAAAGGAGGGAGAAAGACTGACTGAAGGTCTTCATGAAGACCAAGTACAAGAGTACTGGGAGGAAGGCTTGAGAACTGTGGCCGGTGAGAACTGGGTCTCAAGGTTGGTTTCAGAGGGTACTTACAGCTGACAAGGTAACTACGGGGTGTGACTGCGTTGGAGTGCAGGTGAAGGTCAGCAGTGGGAGGAGTGCAAGCTTTGTGGCCAGGCCAGATGTACAATAGTTCCTCATTCACAGGGGCTGAGACCTTCAGTATAGTCTCCAGAGCTGACATGGAGGAGAGGGTTGGAATCATATCCTAGGGTCCTTACTGCACATTGGAGAGGGATGTGGAGACCCTCAGATAATAAACAGAAAGGAGAGGTATATTGGTGAGCAGCAGAGCTGGCATTGGGAGGGCTGGTGTGCTTAGGGTCAAGAGTAGTAATTTGGAAGTACCAGTGGGATTAGGAAGATGCAGACAGGACTGTGGTCCCCTGGTATCACAGCAGGACACATGATTTCTCCTCAAGGGCCTTCAGGAGGAGCAGTGATTTCTGGCGGGGGAGACTGTCGAGCCACATGGAACAAGCCCTCGGGAAAGTAGGCAGAGGGGAGTTTATTTAAACTGTCCTCTACTTTCTTGGGGAGAAACTTTCCCTAAACACTCCCATCTTCTGCCCTTCCCTGTCACTCACTCCTTTTTGGGAGGTGGCGTGACTGATTGAGTGTGTGATGAAGAATTGGACGAAGGTAGCTCAGCACCTTCTCCTGCACGTCAGCTGCCTGTAGGAAGTGCACAGTCTGGTCTGCCTTCCCACGGTGTCATTTCACGGGGGCAGCCCTCACAGGAAAAGGTCTCTAGGTTTTCATTTTGACCTGGAACCCAGTGGGTAAGCCTGCCTGTTTCTGGGTCTCAGAGACCCGGTATTAGGAAGTGCTTTGTCACCACTCACCAAAGCCATATTCTTCCCACCGCTGCATCAGTATAACAGACATTTAATCTTCATCAGCTTGACTCAGTCATCTGTCTTAGAATGTGGGCTGGGAAAAGAGGGATGGATACTTTATTTTTATTTTGAGACAGGGTCTTGCTGCACTGTCACCCTCCAGTGGTGCGATCATGGCTTACTGCCTTGACTTCCTAGGCTCAAGTGATCCTCCCACCTCAACCTCCCAAGTAGCTAGGATTATAGGCGCACACTACCATGCCTGGCTAATTTGGTTTATTTTTTATAGAGACGAGGTCTCTTCATGTTGTCTAGGCTGGTCTCAAACTATTGGGCTCAAGTGATCCTCCCACCTTGACTTCCTAAAGTACTGGGATTACAGGTGGGAGCCACTGCACCTGCCTGGAGGGGAGGGATACTTTAATCACCACCAACAGCAGCTGCTCTTTCCTTCATCAGAGACTTTACGGAACCTGAGACGTGTTTGGCTGTGGGTGCCAAACACATGGAAGGTGCATTTCTAGCTCTCCAACAGCTCACTTTAGGCTGCAGCAGACAAGTGACCAGGCCTCGTGTGTGCTCCGTAAATGTAGGCGCAAGGTATTATGGGAGCGTCTAGGAGGGGTACCTAGTCCAGGTCAGCCTCAGGACTGAGATCTTTTTGAGGTTTTAGGAGATGTGAGATAACTTCTCTATTTGTGTCCTTTTATTGGGTATTTCTGGTAGTTTAAATAAATGGCAGAGTAAGAAATGATCACACATAAGATGTTTGGGGGCAACTGCAGTGAAGTGGAGTGCCCAGGACCACACGGCTGCTGTGTGGCGAAGCCGGGACACAGACAATGGGACCAGGGCTGTGGGGGTTGGAAAAAAAAAAGTAGAAGTCATAAATCTGTCCTCAACAAGGTGTCATCTTAGAGAGCAAAAGGCATAAATGCATTCTCAAAGGCTGAGGATTTTGAGTCGCATTGTTTTCTTGGGAAGGACTCATTAAGGGGTGTTGGAGGGTATTGAGCAGCCATGAAATGAGAGGGCTGCACAAAAGACAGTGCTGGCTGAGTTCTGCTTTTGGAAAATGGCTAAAATGGCTTGTTCCTCTGACGCCTGAGGTGATTTCTTTTTCCCCTGGCTGTAGCCTAAGTTTAGAAGCTTGAGGCCTTAAGGTTCTTTATATTGTTCAAAGATAGGAGAGCAGGTCCGTATTAAAAACTGAAAAACACTGTGATGCTATAGAAATCACAGTTTAAAAATCTCTGCTTGTGTGCATCAAAATCAACTGTGGACTTAAAAGCAGAAAGCAAAATTAAAATCCCAGATGCTCGGGCCCAGAATTTTGGAAACTGGGGACTAGGTAGTTTCTCTTAGAAAGGTGCAAGGTGATTATGATATAAAGCCAGAGCCGAGGACTACTGACTGATAGTATTATATTTTGTTCAGGCAGTTTAAAAATTTTTCTTAGGCCGGGCACGGTGGCTCACGCCTGTAATCCCAGCACTTTGGGAGGCCGAGGTGAGTGGATCAGCTGAGATCAGGAGTTCAAGACCATCCTGGCCAACATGGTGAAACCCCGTCTCTACTAAAAATACAAAAGTTAGCTTGGCATGGTGTTGTGCACCTGTAATCTCAGCTACTCAGGAGGCTGAGGCAGGAGAATCGCTTGAAACCGGGAGGTGGAGGTTGCAGTGAGCCGAGATCGTGCCATTGTACTCCAGCCTGGGTGACAACAGCGAGACTCTGTCTCAAAAAAAAAAAAAAAAAAATTTCTTATATCCTTTACCAGTATGTGCTTTTCAGCCTTTTGTCATCACCCCTAAGGAGTCTTTTTAGACATTTTTTTTCTAATCATCCCTGTGGAATGTGGAGTTAGATAAACTATATATTCACTTATATACTGCATGCATATCTGTGCTTTATACATACAATTAGAGCCAGATTTTTTTCTTCACTTTGGGGGGCAATACTCCCCACAGTGAGACTGCACGCTCTAGCAGAAGAGAGGTCTTTGAAGACTCCTAAAGATGAACATGGACATTTTTTCCTCATAGATATAACTTGAGTGATGGCCGGGCATGGTGGCTGATGCCTGTAATCCCAGCACTTTGGGAGGCTGAGACAGGTGGATCACTTGAGGTCAGGAGTTCGAGACCAGCCTGGCCAACATGGACATGGTGAAACCCCATCTCTACTAAAAATACAAAAATGAGCTGGGCGTGGTGGCCGGCGCCTGTAATTCCAGCTACTCGGGAGGCTGAGACGGGAGAATTGGTGAACCCGGGAGGCAGAGGTTGCAGTGAGCTGAGATTGCGGCGCTGCACTCCAGCCTGGGCAACAGAGCGAGACTCTGTCTCAAAAATAAATAAATGAAAATAAAAATAACATGAGTGGAATAATAATGATTATGATTGAGGGTGAGCTGTGAGGAGCACTTTGCTGACTACTTGATTTAATTCTTACAGCTATTCTGAGTTAAGTACTGTCAATATTTCTGAAACACACGGAGGTTAGGTAATTTGCCTAGGGTCACAAAACTAGTCTTACTCAAGTTAAGATTCAAACCCATATAGACAGATTTCAGAGGCTGTGCTCTTAACCCCTTCACTCTGCTGCCTCTCATGACTCCGAATCTCAGAATTGCATCGTCATAAAAAGCCTTCATGGAATCTGGAACCTTGCATTATTGGAAGCTCACTTTGTGCCTTTGTAACTTCTTAAGCCAGTTGTAGCCATCTGTTCTCCCTCTCTCCCTTTCCACGGTGGACTGTCAGGCTTTGTCCATAGTTGAAGCAGATGATGATGGGATTATTGGATTGGACTTGGGAGAAATGGAAAGGGACCTTCAGGTCCCCCAAGTCCAAGGGCTGGAGGTGGAGGGAAGGCCGGCGGGCTTTCAGGTTGCTACACTGGCTTGAATCAGGATATTCACAGGCAACTTGGAAGGGAGTCAAAAAGGCATTGGGCGTTTGCAGGTGAGGTGGTGGGTAGAAGATATTTTGAAAATGGGAAGAATTTTCATTTAGGAACTTCTTTATGAGGAAATTTTGAATTATAAAGTCCAGCTTTACACTTGCGAGGAACACTGAAGTTTCCCAGTTGATAAACTTCTTTTTAATCCTGTCACACTCAAAACTTTTCAGAAAACAACCAGAAGCCACTATCTTCCTTGTATTTTGTTGTGTTTATTTTATTTATTTTATTTTATTTTATTTTATTTATTATTTTATTTTATTTATGGGAGACAGAGTTATCCACTTCTTGTTGCCCAGGCACTTCCAGGCTGGAGTGCAGTGGCACCATCTCAGCTCACTGCAGCCTCTTGCCTTCTGGGTTCAAGCGATTCTTCCTGCCTCATCCTCCCAGAAACTGGGATTTACAGGGAGCAATGCGCACCATGC